CCTCTTCGTGTCAATAATACGACCAATGCTAGAGTATGGCTCTCCCGCGTATTGTCCTATCACCCGGGGCGAGGTAGAAAAGATTGAGCGAGTGCAGCATGTAGCCATCAGGCTGATTCCCAACTTACGAGATATGCCATACGAAGGCCGTTGTAAGAAACTAAGGCTGTACACCCTAGCCTATCGTCGACTGAGGGTTGACCTCATCATGACATCTGGGTGATTATCCTATGTTGAGACCACTGCTTCATTTGCGAGCACTAAGCAGCACACGAGGACACCGGTATAAGCTTGTCGTACTGGATTTGAAGCGGGTCGCTCACCAACTCTGTTTCGAATGCAGAGTGGTGAATGTATGGAACGACCTGCCGCAGCACGTAGTTGAGGCAAAGTCAGTGTCGGAATTTAAGAAGCTCCTTGACAAACTGCCGACGCAAAATATATTAAGCGGAACACAACATATCGGGTCTTTGTCCATGAATGACGATTGGTGCAGCTACACAGAGCAAACTCTACTTGCTGCTTCTAACCAGTATCTTACGGTTATGAGACTTTGAGAGCGAATGATCTTTTCGTCATTTGTTTCGTCAGAGAGCTTGAACAAGACCGGGCAGCAATGCTTAGGCGAGTTCTTTTTTGTCGAATGGATGTACAACGTATGGACCGTAAGTTGCTGGCTCCAAGCACAACCTTTGCTACGGTTTTGATTTTAATCTTATCAGGCACATTGAACGCGACTACATTTTCCTGACGGCGTGTACGTTCACAAGCTTCTGATGCAACTACAGAGATGAAGTATGACTTGTGCAGGTACTGTAGTTTGAGTTTATCAGGCATACTACACAAGTAGGAGAATGGACGCAGCAGGTTACAAAAGTCGTCCATTGCCGAGAGCTTTTCATTGATGGATGTGACGTCCTTTTTAATCAGATCGACTCTGTTGTATGCTTCTGCAGGACTGTTGGTACTGGAAGCTAAACGATCTTTGTGAATTTTAGTAGTTTCCTTATGTTTACGTAGTTCTACAGCCTTTTTAGGAACCCTTAAAACTTCATCATTTGGTAGCAGCGCATTTGTGGCCGAGTTGTTTATCCTGGAGGTTGGCGATACCAGGGAAGCGAAGGCAAGTTGATCTACCTCCACAACTTTACTCGAGCCCCCAAAAGTTCGCCGGTTTGGTAACACAGAGTTGGTGGCTGAACCTTTCTTTTTAGTGGCTTATGTTTTAGAAGTCATCAATAGAGTGGGAGATATATGTAGTCTATATGCAAATAGAGTCGATATAGTTACCGTAAGCAAGAGGGAAATTGGTAACACCTTAATGGGTTGGGCAGCTGGGAAGAAATAAGTGCGGCGAAATGAGGGCGAAAGAAAAACTGGAGTACCAGGGTTGAAGTGCGGTATGAATACACTAGGCCTATGCCTATAGACTTGTAAAATTGTTCAAAAAGCAGTTAAACGATAGAAACCAACCGTTTAGAAAATTCGCTATAAATCCAATGTACCAAGATATCCGAAAAAGAATCCTGAAAACAGCAGCGGAAGCACGACCGGGCGGCGCTATTCGGGATGCCCATTGAAGTGAACGTTGAGATTGCGCGTCGCAATGCATCCACACAACGTGTACTTCAAAATGATCCTCAACATCGTTTATTAAACCGTTGTGCCAAGCGTTGCCCGTCGTGACCCGGTGGCTTAGTGGTAGCGGTTACAACTAACATCCCAATGGTCCCGGGTTCGACGTCTGCTTACTCTATCTGATGAGATGTAATAACATGGAAACACGTCATAATAGTGCATGGTTTTCGGGCTTACAACAACCAATTTCTATTTGCTTTTCTTAACATTAATTTAATTAAGTTAACTGGTCCACCTAATCAGCAACTTGGAGTGGGTAACCCACGTCGGTTTGAGCAGGTGATATGTGTGCTCACTCACCGCCTGCCTTGATTTTACCTGTGCCAATATGACGTATGCCTCGAAGGGAGTCAACATAAACCTAGAAACAAAGAGTCGAACCTCTACTCTTTAGATTGAGCGTGGTTCCTCCTTCGGTCCCCAGGCTTGTTTCCAAGCCACCAACACTGTACTTGACTCGGGGCATTACATGACGCTGTGTGTATTGGCATAAGTCTCTTACCCGAACTGCTCATTAGAGTATGCATTGTATTTGGGATATCTATGGAGTAAGGCTCATTGTAACGCAGGACAACGCAACCCGCAAGAGTATTTTACCTTCGCGACATAGCCAGCTAATGGTGGTCACTGGGGATGGGCGCCTTTATCCTGATTGTTGCGTAGGGCATTTGGGCCGTTCCCTCGTTTCATTTCTCATCAGTAACACAATTATGATTGTATTTTTTTAGAGCCTTATTACTGCGCACTGATGTACTAACATTGATGGCGATGTTGGTGATCCATCAATAACTACCCCCTAATCTTTTTTGCATCACACCTTTCATATAACTCAGTGGTTCTAAACCTTTTTGAGGCTGTTATCCACCAGGAGGGCTCCTAATAAACAACTTCTCCCCCCACAAAATAGTTTTAGTTTAGAAAGCTACTCACCTATTAAATATTGTCTGTTTTCTTTAAACAAAGCAAAAAGAATACAATTTGTATTTAATTTCGTCCATTCAAATAAAGAAAACGCGTTTTTAGCATTTTTAAATTAAAACACAGCATTTATTTCTTGAAGTTTGAGTGCTCAGTGCGACACCTTGCCCCGTGAAAACCAGCGCATTTCTGTGCGGAGTAACAGCACATCAAATTTACCTCCAACTTCATTGCGCAACTCTTTGAAAACTTTTGTATTTGTTGTACTACCGCGAATGAAATGTGCATTTTCACTACCAGAATAATTGCGTCCAGCAAAATGGGTGGAAGGGTTGTTGCTGCTAAAGCATAAAGATCTACAATGCAATAGCTAAAGGTAGCTTACGGAGCTACTTGTTTGACTAATTTTTGAAATCCAGTACGAACGCGCCCAATATGGCTAGTGCTCGGTATGGAGAAACACCCACGAACTTTGACCACTACAAATGGTCTAATTCACTGACCACTCACTAGTGCTTAGTCACTGATGGCTAATCAATAGTGATTAGGTAGTTAGTTACATGTTTTGCTACAGATGATTTTGTTACTTAATTTTGTTTGGCGACTGATTGATGACCCAATCATCGCACTTACATTTACCCCTCGTAAATTTCCATTTTATCTCTGGGGGTAACTACCCCCAGATTGAGAACCACTGATCATTCAGTTACACCAAATAAGAATACATCCATCACGTGTTGATCGGTAACGCGCACAGAAATTGCAAGGCGGTACTTTTCAGTAATCTTAACATGAATATCTGTGATAGTGTATGTCGGCTTCCAAGTCAGAGATGGCCCAGGCATGCTGTTCTGTTTAGAATTGGTCATGTCGCTTGTATGCTGGTGTTGCTAATCAGTTTTCCATTCCGGAGAGTCAAACTCGACTGTGGCGATCTGAGTTCGTACAGGATTTGCATGTCCAAACTTTCTATTACTCGGGATGCGAATAGTTTTTCTCGCGAGTTATGCGCACACTTTTGTTTTTGGCCGCCAAAACATGCTTCTTTTCATTACCATTTACTATCCACAGAAATTTTCAAAATTTTAAATCCTGATGCATTGTGTGCGGCTTCAGTTTCCCTTGGCCTACAGTGTGCCCTGCTATAGCTGCGGAGTAGGGAACAGTCGAATGGAATGTTCGGTACTGCAGACGAGGACGATTTTAACGGAGAAAATTAATGTATGCTCTTAGTTTAGTATTAGCTATTGTTCCATCGTTATTAGTAGGATGGTAGGTCGCTAATCATCCAACTGTCATCGAGGTATGCTTTGCTGCGTTTGCACATGAATCACAGGGAAGGGGTAGATTGAAAATGAATAGACAGCAGTTTACTTGAAATTCAGGTGGAGATGATGCCGTAAGCATGTCAGTTCTATCAGTTCTATACCGATGGAGACAGAGCACTAAGCTGTAGGATACTTTTTCAGCACTATACAGTGAATGATTTAGAAAAGGGAACGGCGACTTGCGTGGTAACTGTTTCTTAATACTGTCGAAAGGGTGCCTCACTAGGATCACTCAGGCTCGTGTTCCCAGTTCTCATGGTCCTGATGATGGTGATTTGGTGGTGATGATGATCTGTTCCCCTTTGTCAAAGGGAGTTCAGCCGTAACTTTCCTTTTTCACCGATAATATCGCATTTCCCCTTCCCTTACTCTGTGGTTAATTTTCATGGTGACTTGCACTTCCCGTGAGACCTTAACCGGCAACACATTTCCTCGAATATGCTTTGCTTGGTTTAGAACCACTCACGAAAGTAATCAAATCCTCATGCGCCCTGTTTAAATCTTATCTCACGTTCTTATCCTTTTGCGCATTGGCATCGTAAGTGACCACTGCGCCAGACTATGGGATGAACACACCTAGTGGAAATACACAAATGTGGTTTTGTGTAGTCGATAACGGTCACGGTGTGCCACCAATAAATATTCTACTCGTATTTCCTCACGATATTTCACTGCCAACCCTTCGTAGTACCCCTTGCTTTTCTGATCGTATGCGAATTCAAGTTTTTCCTCGACTTTTGTCTAACTCACACTCGCCTCTACTTTGGGATTGCACTCACGTTGCTGTTAGACCTTGTTAGTTTACAAACACAAGTACCGTTTTACTGGTAACAAATAATCTTTCCACTCACTTCTCTATCTACAGTTAACTATCTGGTGATACAGCAGACATTTCTCTATCAATTGATCAGCCATCTACTGGCTTTGATTTGTTCAGTTAATTGCAACTCCATTGTGGTAACTTTCCACAAAATCAGATCGGTTACATTGTTTTGGTTGTCTTCAACTCCAGTTTTTTTTCTAAACTCATCTTTGATCCATTACCGTATTCTATATTCCGATCCTTATATATGTGTTGCCTTTTATTGATGTGGCATGTTTTTTTACTTTTACGCAGAAATTTTCACACGTTTGTCACGTGAAATCTGTCACTGGACTGTTGGGTTGACCTGTATATCGGAGAACGTTCGACGCAGCCGTCCTATCCGCCACCGGGCAGATCCTTCACCGCCACCACCACCGACGCCACTTCACTTACTACTCTTGTGTCTGATTCACCTGTGCAACCGGTCTGTTCCACACGAAGACATCTTACTCTCTGTGACTGGTACCTTACTCAACATTGTGCGTCATCGTTCTATTTCCAGCCAAGTGTCTCTTTGGTGGACTTCACCTTCTTCACAGATGCAGGACGGGTTGTTTGTGTCACCAGCAATCGCCAGACAATCTCATTCTTGCATGGAGCGATCCTCCAGCCTCTCACGCCTCCCGGTTTTAGACACCGCTCCCTCACTCACCACAACCGATGACTGGATACACGATGATAGCGCTCATCACATTTCTCGTGCAGGTCGTGCTCACAGCTCGGATCGTCAGGAATCTTGTCTCATTCCCTATTCAAACAACGACGCCAGCGTTGCGGAGACTTTGGTGACTATCCTACTCCGGACATGGCGATGCCGTCCTGGAACCTTGGTACGTTCCTATTTATACCTCGTCACTTTTCGATTCGGTAGCCTGACTCGATTTGTTTACAGCCACTGAGAACATGAGTTAGAATTCTCTCAGTCAGATTCCATTCACCAGAGCCACCGAGTCGACCGGGGGTAATACTTGATACTCATCCTGCATCCGTAACGGTGTGACTGAATTTTGTTACCTAAGTGTGAATTGAACCGAATTTGAGTAGGTTTCATCACACGCTTATCAATATGACATGTGGCCTTCAGCTGCATGCCCGCGTTTACTGTTAATTCTGCATAGATATGGATGGTTCGCTAGGACATGTATTCTCTTTCTTTTTGGGGAGACACGTCTGTGAAGGCCTGTTCAGGTAAATACATCATTTTCTAGTTTAACGACCACGAATGATTAGAAAATGTTCAACAGCAATGAAAATCGTTTTTTTCAATTTTGATAGGGTATCAAAGTTGCTTGTTGTTTCAGTGTGTTACCTGATGTTGCACGGGATGTCTGTGTCAGGTTTGGTAGGTCGATTGAGAATATAAATGCGGAAATGTATAAAGTAGATGTCACATTTGGTGGATGCTTTGTTCCAGGATACTTACTAGTATCGAATTCTCATAGTGGCACTCACATGAAACCGGAGCAAGTGGAGAACCTATGGATGGATAAACGTAAGAGTAAACTGCAATAAAAGTAGTAGAAACATCGACAATGAAGACGTGGAATGTGAAGCTGTGTTTGAATAACTTTCTCCCTCATAATACACTTGTTGGTGACAACTTTGTCGTTGGCATAGATAGGAAGAAGCAAGGAGGATGTAGGCGTTGAGTATCCGCTCTCTGTTGTAGACTGGTTTCTGGATCACATAAATCCTTGCTTGACTGTTCTTTATGTGATATCCCAATAAATGGCTGACATTTTGCACAGTCAATCATTTGCTGGTCCGTTTTTGAAATTTCTGCTCTGAATTGCTAGCACGGATCTCGGTTGGCAATTTGTTCCAGATTTGTGCATATCTGTTAAGGAAGAAGTTAGCGGATCTGGTGGTCTTCGACCTGCTTTCCACTATCAAATGTTCCTTATTTCGTGTGTTGTATGATGGTGCTTGTAGTATTGCCATGTTATGGTTGAAAACATGCATTTCCTTGTGTAGGATGTTTAAGAATATGATTAGGTTGCGCTCACTTCCCCTCAACCAGATGAGATTCAACTGTCCTGTCTTTCACTTATTTTCATCACAGTTCGTACGCTGAGATTGGAGGTATCGCTGTACCACCACCACCCTTAGATTGTTTCTGGTGACCAGTTCGTTGTGCACTTGATCTCTAGCCCTCAACAGCTGTTAGACAGCACATATATGTTATCCCAACTGGTTGTGACTGGGATCTCATCTATTCCCTTATTCCCATAATCGTGGAACTTTTCGGATTGTTTCACTTTAATCAGCATAAGCTGAAACCGATCAAGCTGCATTATTGTAGGGCAACTAGAATTGTAAAGTCCAAATCAACCTGAACTACGTCCACCTCACAACAGACACGACCAGAGCAATTAGGCAGAATTCATTGTGAGGCGGGACTAAGTTGGACCGGGCAAACAAGAGCAGTAACAAGTTCACATCGATCCATACATGATTAGCTAGCGAGCACTGTCAAGCGGTTGCATGGCAGAGTACGAGAAACAATAAACCAACTCACCTCAGTCCAAGAAGCGCGGCGCGGAACTTAGTGTGGGCCAAGTGTATATGCTGATCTTGGTCACCATTCATTTATGTTAAACTGAATACTGTGTTGTGGGTTCAAGTAGATATTTTAATCTGTACAGCTCCATCGGAATGTAAACAATAATGTCGCAAAATCTGTCAACTACCTGTTGGTTCTCTAAACGTTCTTTTCTTCTTATTTAGCATTTAAAATCTGATTAAAAGTGTCATTGCACTCACAAATGTAAGAGGACATTGTCAATGTGCAATCGTTCTCTGAATCGAATGGCGATGAAATGTAAATCCACCAATGTTTTATACTATTGCATAGATTTGGTTTACCACGACTTGTTCTGGCAGACTTTTCTAAACATGTACCACATGCGGTGGGGAATTCGCTTTATGCGGATTTTGAGCGGTTCTCCGAGCTGAGTGATTATTGTGCAGACGTTTCGTTGCCTGACTAGGAAACATCATCAGTGCGGTTTCAGGGGCCTGGTTCGCAGTGCCTTGTAAGCGACTTCAATGTCCAAGTGCTTATTGATCGAGTTCCGCTTTGAATGCCAGGCTTCAATGAACTCACGTGCTTGCCGGCTTTTAGCCCTTCCGACGATACTGGTATGCTCTATGTCGAATTCATGGTTCTCAGCATCCATGTGCACTGACATCAGGGAGTTCTGACCGTGGCGACGTATGGCTAGGCTGTGTTCGTGTAGCCTTGTGCCAAGCGTTCTCCCAGTCTGTCCCACGTAGTACTTGTCGCAGTTCCGACAGCGCTGGAACAAATAGCACTTCCGATCGCGAGACCAAAACTTTGGGTACGATACGTAGACGACACCTTCGTCATCCTCAAACGTTCCAAATTGGAGGAAACACACGAACTAATCAACAGTGTGTTCGATGGCATCCAGTTCACCAGGGAGGAGGAGAACGACGAACAGTTACCATTCTTAGACGTTCTCATGCGACGGACTGGTGCTGAAAGATTGGAAACAACAGTCTACCGAAAATCTACGCATACGGACCACATCCTCAACTACGGCAGCAATCATCCGGCAGCCCACAAAAGCAGCTGCGTGCAAACCCTTTTCAAACGAGCACAAACCCACTGTAGCACACCGCAGCTGAGACGGGCAGAGGAAGATCATCTCTTCAACCTGTTCAAGCGGAACTCGTACCCAAAAGGCTTCATTCTACGCTGCCTCGCATCACAAAAGGTTACTCAACACACCTCGACAAATGTACCAGCTGAAAAGAGAACAACACTTCCCTATATCAACGGTATCTCTGAAATGGCAGCGAGGCTTTTATTGCCTTTTGGAGTCAAAGTTGCACACCAGCCAACGGAAACCATTCGCAGTAAACTCTTCAAGGTGAAAGATAAACTTAGCAAAGAAGAAGAAACTGGTGTGATTTATAAGATCTGCTGTCGGAACTGCGACAAGTACTACGTGGGACAGACTAGGAGAACGCTTGGCACAAGGCTACACGAACACAGCCTAGCCATAAGTCGCCACGATCAGAACTCCCTGATGTCAGTGCACATGGATGCTGAGGACCATCAATTCGACATAGAGCATACCAGTATCGTCGGAAGGGCTAAAAGCCGGCAAGCACGTGAGTTCATTGAAGCCTGGCATTCAAAGCAGAACTCGATCAATAAGCACTTGGACATTGAAGTCGCTTAAGGGGCACTGCGAACCAGGCCCCTGAAACCGCACTGATGATGTTGCCTAGTCAGGCAAAGAAACGTCTGCACAATAATCACTCAGCTCGGAGAACCGCTCAAAATCCGCATCCACACCCCGAGCTACGCATATTCTCATTTATTTCAAATTCGCTTTATACCCGGGACCACAAGTTTGTACCGGTGTCCGCGTGTAGCGCATGGCGTTCGCAAGTGGTGCAACCGCCTCAACATGGGGAAATCACGGAGATGTTATTTGCGATAGGTCACAATGAGACCAAATCATTGCAGGCGAGGGGACAAAGTGTAGAATCCTAGTTTCTCGCAGCGACCTTCTTATCGTAATATTCCCAAACTAAGAATGAGCCTGGTAGCGGCGTGTTGAACCCGCTCGATCTTCTGTGTATCCCATCTGATGATTGGACACTAGGCGCGCGAGACGCACTCTAGTGTTATGATGGAAGAGAAGAGGCGAGCTCCGTTTCAGCACCGAAAGCATGCGCACTCCCTTACAATAGAGCCGCGCGAGAGTTACACCTACATCCTTCAAAGTGGGCTTAGGATGTAGGAGTTGACCGTCAATGGTGTAAGTTCGACCATCATCACCCTTCGCCAGGCTCATGAATACCGACATGATCAGGTTGATTTTGAAGTGAACCGCATGCAGTGGCGGCCGGCTGAAGTCTTACTGAAATAAGACACAATCGTCTGAGTTGCTAATCATTCCCTAAGTCTACAGGTCAGCTGCAAACAGGACACACGGAGACATACAGACCGTTAATGTGGGTCAGGAACAGAGTGGACCCCAGCACCGTTCTCTGGGGTACTCCATTAGTAGAGTGATACCAATAACTCGGAGGGCCATCAATCTGTGCCCTCCATTTTAACTCACCGCGCATGTCCTGAATCCACTGGTGCAGTTTCCACCAACGCCGCGGTCTCTCAGCTTGTGGAGGAGAACCTCATGGTTTACCTTTTTGAACGCTTTACTGAAATCAATGTCGATTGCGTCGACAGACTTTCCCTGATTTACTGCCTGTAATCATTCGTGCCTCGTCACCAGCAGTTTGGTAATGCATCAACGGCCTAGCATAAAACCGTGCTGCGCGGGCGTCAGTAGATCTTTTGAAAGGAGCAGGTATAGTAAACTCTTCCTCACAATCATGTCGGCAATCTTGGTCAAGGTAGGTGTCAGACGAATCGGCCTGTAGTTGTACATTTTGCTGGGGGTCACCGCCTATCGGACTCGGCTTTTACACTGAGCACTTCTGGTCATCCGGCATCATCATCATCAACAGCAGTACAGTAGCCATTTGAACTGATGCTTTGCTGCCGTACAACCATGGTAATCTACGGAACGAAGAACAGTATGGGGGAGAGAAGAGGGACTTGGCGTAACATTTTAAATATTCTAAACAAACACTCTGGGTCAAGTCTCATACACCTTGTCAATAACACACCTTCAAAAAACCGCTGGCTAACTTGCAAAGATAAGGTGGCATTGGCGAGACAGCTTCCTTGCGGCTTTCACCGCCTCACGTCATAATTAGCCATTACCACGCAGAAAGTACAGCAACAAGCATACTTAAAACAGGCAATCCGACCAGGAGACGGCAACAG